AAAGGGTGTTGTATGCCCTTCAGCAATTATGTAGCATCCTTGAAAATAAAATAAATGAAATCAATTACATAAGAATGTATTTTTTATTACTTGTGAAGAAAAGTGTAAAAACTGATATTGATATAAAACAACTTGCTATATATTATCAAGTATATAAATGATTTACAGTTCACTCAGTCATACGTAACCTATAAAAGTTTAATAAACAATGAATCTGAAATTAATTTACAATGCAACATTATAAAAGAGGCAAGTTAGAAGTAAATGTTCTTCGGCATTTTTCATACAGATTAAGCTCTTTCACAGGAGGTCCCGATTGTGTGGGATCTAATGGCCCAGCTTCCATCATTAAACCCTAGAGATTTGTAAATAAAAGATTGTGATATATTATTGATTCTGTCACAGCAGATCCAAGTAATGATTAAAAGTACACTTTTTCTCATTTTTCATGGAAACTTTTCTCCCCCCCCTCAATAAAAGTTTTCAAATACACTAAATTAAATTTCTTATTCAAATATAAGAAATAGCTGTCATTATTTTTATGTAGTATTATAATTTGTGTTACCTTGATTTGGGCAAGGTACTCTTTCTTAATCATTACGTCTTGATGAGGAACAAGATCAGTACAAATCAGATTCTGAAATAAATATACTGAATCAGTATGAAATCACCTATTACAAAAGTATCTTCATTTGAAAAACATAATTACTTCTATAGTTCTGATGTAATATGAAAAAGTGTAAACCATATAAAAAGAACTGAGTTAATCAGGTCTGTAGGTCAAACATACTGTAATTATTTCTACAAATATTTAATTTTTTTTTCACAACTGACACGTGATTCCTAAAGATTATAAACAATGACAAAAATGTGACTTACAGGATAGTTTGTCTTTGAAAAGGTGTACATGTATTATTGCTCTGTTTTAAATAGGTTTCTGTATTGTTAATTTGTAATCATAGTCATTTACAACTGATCTGGAGCAAGATCTTCATTTGGAGAATTATTGTGGCAGAATGGCTTATCTTAATTAAAAAAAAAGAGAAGTCTGGCAAGTATCTACCCTTTGCCATAAGGGCAACCTATAAAATTTGAGTTTTCTCACCACCCTTTACTCTTAAATGAAAAAGGCATTATCAAAACAGATCTAGTTATAAATGTATTTGTCAGAAAAATACTATCAACTTATTTA